ACTCGACCTGGCTTCAATAACTGCATGAACAGAGCTCAACCGAAGAAGAAAGAAGAGGAAAAAAGTGTCATCTGATACAATTTGATAAACTTGACCTACACCTATAAATGCAGTAGCTCAAAAGAGGAAACAAATCCCTACTGCAAGAATTATTCCCACCCCCTCCACACAAAGAGTAGACAGGGAAGGGCAACTTGGACATTGGCTACCCAAAAATGGGGGGAGGGATACAAAGGTAAGAAGTGACTGGCTTACAAGCTTTCAAGAGAGAACCTAGATCCAGAGGGTGTGGAGGAAGGTAAAGTCTCCAGTGGATAGTATCCAGTCTGTCCAGGAAAGGCTGATGAAATGAAATGCAGATGGGTCTCTTGTGATGCAATAGTGATTAATTGTTATCAGGACTGATTGTGAGGGTTGGAAATGTAAAGGTGGACGTTTTATAGCAAGGAAGGGAGTGATTAACTTTTCAGTCTAGGAGCTGAGGGCCTTGGGACCATCAATGGAGAAGAGCAGAGAGCAGGACCTTAACCAGAGAAGCAGTGAGGCCTGAGATGGAGGCATAGAAGATGATGTAAATAGATGGAGTGGCCGGGGACTTGAGATCCAGAGAGGGAAAGCGGCTGTGTGCGGAGGACTGTCAGGAGTAGGGCAGGCAGGCTTGCAGGTTGGGTAATGACGCATGGACGGTATGGTAACTATGGCACTGAAACGATGTATGATAGAATGAATGTAAAACTAATGTTCTCCCATGAATTCACACAATTCACAATAAAACATTTAAAAATAATAATAATGAATTGTATTTATGTTGTTAAGTTTCATCAAGTTGGTTATGACTCAGAGTGGCTGGTAGATTTGAACTACCAACCTTGTAGTTAGCAATCCAGTACTTATCTATCCTATAGCACCATACCAGGATCCCTAAATTATATACCATATATAAGATTATTCTGTATTTTGTATACATACTTTGTTATATTAAAGTAACTGCAAAATATTAAATGTCTTTTATAAATCTGATCAGGAGCTCTGGTAGCGTAGTTATGAATCAGGCTGGTAACCTCCAGGTCAGCAGGTCAACACTACCAGCCATTCCATGAGAGAAAGATGAGGCTTTCTGCTTCCGTAAAGATTTACAGCCTCAGAAACCCAATGCAGGATCACTATGAGTCGGTACCAACTCCACGGCACACCATTACCACCACCATAAATCTGATATTTAGAATATTACATTAGGAAACAACCAATTATGCAAAAATGGTCCATGTTTATTTTGATCCTGGACCTAATCCAGCCTGCTGCTTATTTTTGTAAATGAAGTTTTACTAAAACGTAGCCAGGTCCATATATTTGTGCATTGCCTATGACTGCTTTGATGGTACAGTGGCAGAATTGAATCATTATGACAGAGATGGCATGGCTTACAAAACCTAAAACATGTACAGAAAAAGTTTAGAGGACTGTTTCGTGGTCTAGACCTATTACTGTTATCACAGAACTGTTTTGATATTTCAGTACGCGATGGTTCAGCACATGCTCTCACCATCCCCGGTGGAACGGCCTGAAGCTACAGACATCATTGAAAATGCGGTATTTGAAGACTTGGAACTTCCAGGAAAAACAGTGCTCAGACAGAGGTCTCGCTCCTTGAGCTCATCCGGAACAAAGCACTCAAGACACCCAAGCACCTCCAACAGTCCTTTGCCAAGCAATTCGTCTTAAATTGTGCTGGTGACCCTAGCAGGTAATAGATAGCCCACCTCTCTGGAATATGGCTTTCCAAAATTGAGGACTTGAAAATTTGGATCTTTGCTCAATCTTATTTTTTGGACTACCTTTTCTAAGTCAAATTTAAACTGGATTTTGGGGCATAGCCTAATTTGAGCCAACTCTTGATTTTTGCTGCATTCCAGCAGAAGACTGTCACTAGACTTTTCATGTGCAGTCCTTTTTCTTCACTGGTCTCTTGAAATTGGCTGGCCAAACTCACTAGCCCTCGCCTTTTGCCTAGGGAGGTTGACTCAATCCCTAAAATATATGGAGAGAATTAAAATGGAAATATTTTTATAGTACAAAAGAACAGCAGTCCCCATAGCTGCTAATATATTACGTTAGAAATACGCTTCCTAGAAATAGGACGATGATTTTGAAACTGATTCTCAAAAGCCTTGACTCCATTTTGTTCCTGCTGGGTAAATTAGTAATCTGCACTATTTTGGAAGACAAATAGCACAAATTACATAACGGGTTATGTGTATAGCTAGTTTTATAGTGATATTTGTAGCATTAAATAGCTTTATTCCTTAGACGGTTCTAGGGAAAGTTTCAGAGCTTTTTGTACTTTTACGTCCAATAAAGGAAAACTGAAACTTTTTAATGTAAATGGTCAAAAGTTCTCGTTTGGGGAGGAAAAAAAGCCGTAGTAAGAAATTAATCCATATTTTAACTAACTTCTTCCTTTATGGACTTTTTAAACCTAATGAAATCTTAAATGTCTTATATGTAATCTTCTAGGTTGGCACTTCCCCCGAACTGATTCTAGATAGCAGTGTAATCATCTAACTTGACTACCTACCATGTTTTCATTTTTCTCTGTACATATGTGTATTTTTTATTTATAAAAATCCTGAAATCAATCCATTTGGGTTGGTGGTGTACAGAATACACTTCAAGTGTGTTAACTATTGTGACTTCTTTCAAGTCTAAATGATTTAATAAAACTTTTTTAAATTATGCTGGTTGACTCTTGTTTTGTGAACTTAGCCCCAAAATGGTACATTTTCACATTTTTCAGATGGCTGTCACGGGTCTAGGGAAGGACTGTAATCCTACTCTTAAGAAAATATATCCCTAACCTTTTCCAGACAGGTGGCTTCTCTCTTATTTCCCAGAGACTTGACAGAACCATGTCTTATGAAAAACTAGCCAAGAGACATTTTCTTGGTGCCTGCTCTGTGCCAGGGACTAGCAACAGAAAGAGGACGCTGCACTAAGGAAGAGCTTACAAAGAGACAGGGTATGGCCATGCGAGCTGTGCTGGTCTCCCAGGCCTACCTACTTCTGTACGGTCCATCTGAGATGCACTGTGGGGAAGCATGTGGTATGTCAGGCTGCCTAGGCACATACTAAGGAGCTCTGGTAGCGTAGTGGTTACGAATCGGGTTGCAAGCCACAAGGTCAGCAATTCAAAACTACAGCTGTTACGCGGGAGAAAGCTGAGGCTTTCTGCTCCCGTAAAGATTTACAGCCTGGGAAACCCTATGCAGGGTCACTATGAGTCGGAAGCGACTCCACAGCACATAACAACAACAACAGGCACACACTGGCTAGACACATCCTGTGCTGAAATGTGTGTTTATTTTTATTATAGAGACAAATGTACCCCTTTGACCTGCCCCATGAAGATAAACACTTCATAAGTATTCGTACACTGTATCCAAACTCTCAGTTTTGCTGAGTCGTGTCCGACTTCCCAAGTTGCACTTGGCTCCTGACCATTCATCCCTATCTCCTTTGTCCATTAGTCTGCCTGCTTCAATTGCTACCCCTGACTTCCTCTTCAGGCTTATGCTATCGATTTCTTCCCAGCTTCCACCCTAGTCTGGCCTAGCTGAAGAGATTTTGGCCCTCACAACACCCTGGGAGGTAGCCCTGGCAGATGGTATTATTACTGCTCTCTCTTTTGGATGAAAGTAAGGTCCAAGTGGTACTGTGGCTTGCTGGGGATCACAAAGTCAGCAAGTAGCAGAAATAGAACCAAAGCTTCAGGTATTTTGATTCCAAGTCAGTGTTTTTCTACTCGCTTATACCAAGCTGCTTAAGAATTGATAAAATCTTCTTGTTATCAAGTCAGTTCTGAGTCACAGTGACCCTGTATAAGGTTTCTGAGGAGGAGCTAGTAGGTTTGAACCACCGACCTTGTGATCAAGTGCTTGTGGTCCTGCAGCACTACCCCAGCACTTTCAGGCATTCTTTCATTTCTGGGTATATCATTGCTCATCCCAACCCTAAGTGACAGAGTAGAGCTGCCCCATAGGGGTTCCATGGCAATGATCTTTGAGGAAGCAGAATGCCAAGTCTTTGACTCACAAAGTCACTGGTGGGCTCAAACCATCAACCTCAATAGCACCTAACAACGACATGTCATTGCATGGGGCGTTAGGTGGCTAGGCCAGCAGCACCCACCCAGCAAGTCTGTACCAATAACCAGAATGGAGTCTTGTGTACTTCACCCAGAGCACTGTTCAGTGACTACAATTCCCACCTGCCCATCAAACAGTGTTGCTGTTCTGGCTTCTTTCCAAGCCTCCTCCCTCGTCTCTGCTTTGAGCTCTTTGTAAGTCACATCATTGTGAGGCCACAGAAGTCAGCAAATCAGCAAGTCCACAGGGCAACGCCCTCAGCCTTGTCTAACTTACCAGAGAAACTGCTGCTTGCAATCCCAGGCACATCTACCAGAAAATCTGATACTTGATTAAATATTAGAGGAATTAAACTTGGGAAATGTATACCCTGGAAATAGCTGCAGCTATAGGAAAATGAGGAGGGGGAAAAAAAGCCAGTCACTGTAATAAATGTTCTGAAAAGATGGTTTAACAATCCTGATGCTAATAACAGGTAAGTTTCAAATTCTGGAATTTTCTGAAGGAAATGGACATTATGCTGTAATTTAAATGAGAAGAGAAATGGGCTGGGAGACTGGTTGTTGTTAAATGCCCTTGTTGTCATTGTTAGGTGCCATCGAGTCGGTACCAACTCATAGCAACCCAATGCACAACAACAAAACACTGTCTTTAAAGGAGACCTGGTGGCACAATAATCAAAGCTCTTGCTGCTAACCAGAAGGAGGGTAGTGGTTCAAACCCACTAGCCACTCCTCAGGAGAAAGAAGTTGTAGTCTTACTGTGTGAAGATTTATAGCCTTGGAGACATCATGCGGTCAGTTCTAATTACCTATAGGGTCACCATGAGTTGGAATGGACTCAGGGGCAGTGGGTTTGGGGAGTTTACTCTCCCTTTGCCTCCTACTAGCAGACATGAACTACTAGGATGCTTGTTGTTAAGTGCCGTCGAGTCGATTCCGACCCATAGTGACCCTGTATAGGGTATCCGAGGTGCAACTGGTGAGCTTGAACTGCCAACCTTGCAGTTCAAATGACTTTGCAGTCTGGCACATGAACCCACAGCGCCACACCAGGACTCCTGGTTCCAACCCATAGTACCCCTGTATAGGTTTGTCAAGGAGGAACTGGTAGGTTTATCCTGCCACCTTGCAGTTCAAACCAACACTGCAGTCCAGCACAGAGGGGATTTTTCATATTGTTTCTCGCTGACACTTTTCTGGATAAATTTGTAACAAAACCAATTTCTATGGCATTGATTTTTCCGAGGAAGTAGAGACAAGTTGCCACTCAGTCTTTGTTGTTAATTTGTAAAGTGCCAGAGAGTTGGTTCCGACTCACAGTGACCCTGTACAGGGTTTCCAAGGAGCACCTGGTAGATTTGAACCACTAACTTTATGTTTAATATAGTTCAATGCTATCCAACAGTACCACACTCAGTCTCATTCCTAGAGAAATCAAAGACTAAGCAGCAACTTTAGATTTTTTTTTGGACCACCTATGGAATCCCGGCATGGTGCTGTAGGATAAGCACTGGGTTACAAACTGCAAGATTGGCAGTTCAAACTCACCAGGTGTTCCTTGGAAACTCTATACAGGGTCACTATGCATCACAACCAACTGAATGACAACAACATCATGGAGACATTGGGAGCACAGTGGCTCTGTAAGTTAAACACTGGACTGTGAACCATAAGGTTAGCAGTTCAAGCCCATGAGCCACTCCATGGGAGAAAAATGAGGCTATGTGTTTCTGCAAAAATTTACAGCCTTGGAAACCCTATGCAGGGTTACTATGAGTCAGAACCGACTTAACAACAACATGGGGACACTTGCTAGCCCCATTGTTAGCTGCAGTTGAGTCAGCCCCCAACTCATGATCATTCCAAATATAACAAAAATAAATTCTGCCTAGTCCCACACCATCCCTTAAATTGTTGTGTATTGGACTGATGTGACTCATAGGGTTTTTATTGGCTGATTTTCAAAAATCACCAGGCCTTTCTTGATAATCCATCTTGGTCTGGAAGCTCCGTTGAACCTAGTCAGCATTATAACAACATACGGGCCTCCACTGACAGACAGGTGGTGGCTGCACATGAGGTACAGTGGCCAGGAATCCAGCCCAGGTTCCCAAGTGGAAGGCAAATCGAGGATTTGACACTGACATAGGTTTGCTTACAGATACTTCCTGCTGGAGATTTAATCTCTGCAACTACAGTATGTGCCACCAGGTGGCGCATTTTTCAACGTCCGCCGCGCAAGAAGTAGAGAATTGACTGAGATAAAAGTTTATGTTACATATAAGCATCCACAGCGTAGTGGTTACGAATCGGCCTGCTAATCTCACGGTCAGCAGTTCGAAACTACCAGCTGTTCGGCGGGAGAAAGATGAGGCTTTCTGCTCCCGTAAAGATTTACAGTCTTGGAAACCCTGTACAGGTTCATTATGAGTCGGAACCGACTCCACGGCACACTACCACCACCACCATCCCCTCTCCCAGAACCCCCACACACATATAGTTGACTGATTTATAGAAACAAGAGATTGAAAAATTCAAGCATATCAGGATGACTTAAAGCAATAAACACAGGCGCAATGTTCCCTGGCTACTTTATGACTGAACTTCTGATAACCCTTGGCATCCCTGATATTATAACCAAGTTGGAACATTATTTCTGACTTTGACTCTCCAGCATAACATTTCTGCCCTGTACTGATTCTGATTCCTTCCTGCTCCTGGGGATTAGGAGAAGGTTGGAGAAAGCAGAGGGAACAGCCCACGTGAAGATTTGTTGGGGAGGGAAGAGGTGAGAAAGAGAACTCTCAATGTGGAGGTAGAGAAAAGTGGACCAATTTGAGAATTATTTCTGAGCCAGGGTCAGGACACTAGAGTTAACTGACTATAGAATCAAGCTCCTGAGTTTCTGGCCTGAGAACTTCAATAGAATCCAAAAGAAGAAAGAAAAAGTGGTTTCGAGACAGAGGAAATGGCATGTGTTCCTTTTTGAAAATGATGAGGACTGGGGACTCTGTGGCAAAAAGTTAAGAGTTTTATACTGGGGAAAATGAGAAGCCATTGAAAATGTCTGACCCGAGGTAAGGCACATCATCAGGTACTCCAGGATGAGAATGGAAATTGATGAAGAGCAATGACCACAGTGTAGAAAGAGTTGGAGACAGGAAGCCAATCTTGAGGCTACAGCCTCTATCCAGTCAGAGATCAAAGGGCCTGAGCCAGGTCAGTGGGATTTGGAAGGCACCCCTTGTCCAGTGTTCTAACCAACCCAGAGGAGGACCCTCGATTGCTGCCCTTTAGTGTTGAGTTTTGAAGGATTTTTTTCAGGGGTAGTTCAGTGTGAGGGTCCCTATTTGAGAAGAACCTGCTGTCTTCCAAAATGGCAATAGCTTTCAGACAGCAGCCAGAGAACACGGTGAGACACAACGACAGTCACGTTGAGATCATTGCTTCCTCCTTCGCTAGCAGGGTTTGGTAGCACGCAGCTCAGGAGCCTAAGA